GTAATCTCAAATTTTCTCTGGGGCTGTAGTATTTATCGTGAAGAAAGAATACTTCATTATTTAAAAAATTACTAAAGAGATATAAAAGACACCTTTTTTTATTCATAATATAAGAATATTTAAATAGGATATTAATAAACGAAAAGTGTATTATCCATCTCTCATTCACCATGAGATTACTAATAATCTCTTCATTTATTATGGAAGAACGTTTGTACGTTAAATGCACCAGTAATATTATCTATTCAAAATACTGTATATAATTCTGTGTATCTTGGATTACGTACGGCAAAGCGCCGAGAAATGCACACGCCGAGCACAAAGTAAATTTATGCCTGTGCATGCAGTATGCGTTATCTAAATTATAAACAGCGACATATGCTATAATTAACATGTATTCAAATTTCTATCACCAAAGTCGACGAGTGCCTCATGGACGCTTCGAAAATGTTACTCAGATTAAAGCTGTATAATTAATCGGCGCGATGATATCGAGGTGGTGCACAGCTGAAGCTGGGTGAGTGTATCTAATGTTTAAGGCTGTGCCTTCTTGACGAGCAAAGGGTTCACGCGAATCCCAATGAATATGCAAAAGTCTTTCTCAAACCATATCTGGCTACACAGGCTGCCAGTCTATGTTTCATGCATTCAGATGCCCTTCTTACATTCCTAAAAGGCGAATGGCACCGTAGCAGACTTGAACAATGTCGTCTAATGTTACCTTCATTAGATGCCGTTTAAAAACCCGGTCCACATTTCTCGTGAAATTCCCGCCGCGACGTGGTATGCAAATCCCACTCAATTCGCACGAACACGGGGAAACTCTTAAAGCCTTTTATAGTATGCCTTCTCTAAGACTGAATTCGTGGTCTGAAAGTCGGAGTGCCACTATATTCTCAAGTGTAGGTATTACGAGACGACTTTTCGAGCGGGTTATACATATACGCGTGGCTGAAGATTTTTAACCTCCTTCTAAGAGGTTACGACACGCGCAGACTGATTTATATTTACGGAGTAGCGAATATCGCGGCGCGCCACGAATACTGTGAAATCTGACATACGTTTTGCATGTTCCCCCGTGAGCACAAAGTTTTCGTTTATTTAATACGATAAACGGTGCGCGTAGAACCAAGCATTGCATACTTTCGTTATTCTCGCAAGAGCAATTTGGTATTGTCGTTGAGAAATGGTGGAAAAGTTTCGTGTTTCTGTTGACTTATTATTACACAAGTGGAAACAGTTTCTTGGCAATAATAAACACGTGCGACATGCCTCAATATTAAGAACTTCTACTCTAATACTCGTCTCCTATATCTGACGTCGGATACAGCCAACGAATTTTCCCAAAATTTTTGACACAAATTACTTTGCCTTACTAGAACTTGCGAAACATTCCTGCAACAACCTTATTAACCATGATATCTCACAATACGTGATAAGAAAAAGATCTTGCGTTTAATCCTTTCTTGCGAGCTTTATCTATTATTTCTATCAAAACTCTTCGTGTGTTTAATTATATTTGATTTTATAATAAGACTACTTTATTTTTGTTAAATGTCTTTATGAAGTAAAATCTTTTCGTTAACCCTTACCATACCGTCTACAATTTGGTGCCTCATCCATACCATCAAGGGTCACTTCAAATCTCTTCGTTTTTTCACCTCTCCAAAATAATAAAAAAAGTCTCTAAAAATTCGCCAACATACTTTCAACTTTCTAGAATAAATATTGACTCTTTATTTTGGAAAATAATAAAATGTAGTATAATTTATAATTACCGAAAGACTCAAAGAAACTTGCACGAACAGGAATCTCGCTCGGTCACTAGTAGTTACCCATATTAGTACGGTAAGGGTTAATTATCAGCAGATTATAAATAATCATTAGGTTAATGTCTTTTTATATAGAAAAAAAAAGACATTTTATGCTTTTTTTCTAAAGCTTTTTATGTTACACTTTTATATTTAAGACGGCAGTATGTGATAATGGCAGAGTCATACTCGCAGTCAGCAAGTCCCTGACAACCCTCTTCGTGAAGCACTTTATATCGTACAGGCCCATTATATTATCAGCCACGTGTTATAAGTTATAGCAATAAGAGCTTCCCATGGCTGGATAGTCTACTTTATGTTTACGACCCCTTGTAAAAATTTTCTATTAAAACGACGAATGCCGTTCACAACCGTGAAATAGGCAGTACAGTGTGTAATACTGCAGGATGTATACAATGCTACATTATCTATTTTTTTCCACTATATGGAACTTTTCCTCTGTTACGATGGCATGAAAAACTGCGCCTTGAACGTTGCTGTAATCGCGCACGTAAATTGAAAATTATTCCTCGATCGTTTATTCACAAAACTAATTTCAAAACACGGGCTTGTTCAAGACTATCGTTCAAATAATATAACTACAGTCGATTTTGTCAAAAATAAATGATGCAAAAATTGTTATACAGTAAAATATCCTAAAAGTGTTTTACGATAATTAAATATTTATTAAATAACAAGTAATTTAAAATACATAAGTAAAATGTATAACTTCGCATATCTAATAATTTACAGTTTAATAACTGTATGGTTTCTTTAATTAATAAGTAAAATGAATTTAAAAAACAAAATATATATGCTTATTATTTTTATATTTATAAAACTATGGATTTTATCAAATATGTTTTAATATTCTTGTTTACTTTTATATTGTTTATTGATCAATAAAATAAAATTTGTTGCGCAGAATCCATATCCAAGTCGGATAAAGAGAATCACAGGATACGAACGTCAAATTGACACAATTGATACAAAGCATCACTTCACGCATCATATAAATTGCTTCAGTGCCGCTTAGTTACGAATCGGGGTTATGAGAAATATCGATCAATAAAATGAAATCACGAAGATTGATAGGAGAAGATAATTCTTAATGTTCCTATCGTTTTGCTCGGAAAGAGGCACTCGACTATGCTTGCGGGTTCTTCGTTAACTGGGTTCGCACCGCGGAAGGTTTCCGATTCATTTACAGTTTGACAAGTCGCCCACATTCTCAACGCACTTACGTGAACGAAGGAGGATGCGAAGGGCCGACAAAACAAAACACCGTAAAGTGCTCTTGTGTGTAGAGGATGCGACCTGTTAGCTACTATTGAAGCAAGTGAGAAAAGTGGCTGTGAGAGGTGCACAGCGATGCATAAGGGCGCGTTTCCCAAGTACGGTTTATCCCTCGCCCGGCTTTGCGACGCATTGAGATTTATTAACGTGACGCCCGACACCGCAGGATGTGTGCCCATAAATTTCACGGTTGCAAATTTCTGGGAATTCACGCCGATATGCTCGTGGTTATGAACCGTCTCGTTTAAACCCTCACCCCATTCCTCCCTCGCCCGATTTGGAATTATGCCTGGATAAAGCTCGTCATTCTGCAACGCGGTTCCCTCTATTTACAACATTTGAGTATTACGATGATTACCGAATCATTTTTAAAAACGTGTGCACGAAAGCATTGTTTATCAAATATGTATTATAAATTTATGACGTATATATTACAACCATTATTGTACTTTTACAAAATCGATTTGGCGCAGCTTGTGTGTGTTTGCCACATATACAGAATTTAATTTACTTCCATCTCATTCAATTTTCATATAATATTTACCGAGCAAATTCCCTGACCAATTCTATCGGATACAGCCATCGGTAAACGGCCGTATTTATTTTCTTTTATTGAAACGCGGGATCGTGCGCGCTTCACGAGATTGTTTTTGCCATATTCACATTTATATCACGTTTGAAAGTCCACAATTATTACGTATCATTAATCGTGCAAATATAATCGATGAGCTATCTTCGCGTGCTGACAATGACAATGGATTAGCATTAATTCTGTTCTTCGAATATGTGACCGAAAACGTAACACAGCCATCCCATTTGTGATACCAGACCTAAACTGAAATTTCATAGTCCAAGGAACAGTGAGTGATCTTAAGACATCACCGTTCGGTTCTCCCTCGGAGCATCAATCAGCGGTCTCTGCAATCAAGGGAGAGCAACGGCGAGCGAGGACGTCTCCATGGGAATTTCGAGAGGCATCCACCACTCAATTATCTTGAGCCACCATACACATTCAAGATCTTATCGATCTACAGAGGTCTCTATTTGAAGGAAGGTCAACGAGAAAATTCTACGGAAATCTAAAGTTGCTTCCTACCGCGCTGATAACGAATATAAAATATTCATATTGACGATAAGTTTTCACCAATTATATCAGCAAAATTAGAAATCAAATTTAAACATAATAAAATCGCTTCAAATAGTTGGTAATTAAATAATCGAAACATATAGAATGTATTACGTATAATATATAACGTTATCAATCTTTGTATTTTTCACCTATCAAATATAACTTCAAAAACTACTTTCGTTATTGGGAATGTTATCGAAACCAGAACATTATCTCCTTTACGTATTAGAACTGACAATGCATATTAATATATCCTACACAGCCTAGATATAAACAAACCTGTCAGTACCGAAGCCAGAATTATCTGCAATGAATATCAGCAAATGTTGAGTATGCAATTCGATTTCGTTCGGCCCTGAATGATTCCGAGCAACGGCCGTGAATGCCTAATGAGTCGCTGTTGTTCGACATTGACGTATACTATCGGCGCTCCACGTAATGGCATCATTGTTATTCCACGCAACAATTTTCATGTTATATTTACCTCGCCATTTGGCATTCTCACGCAAATCTTAAGATTCTCTCTGACGCGCAGACAAACGTATTAAAAGCAGAATTTCGTACGCCTCTCTTGTACATCGTGATTGCTTCGAACGTAGAATTGATTTCAATATGTTTTAAAAATCAATCTCGAATTATAAAAGAGATATTTCCTACACGCACAATAAAATCTATAAGGGAACGTTCAGTTTTTTAATACTTGTTTGTAAAACTTATTATATGCTCCGATCGTTGTTGTATAAATTGTTAATTGCTTGTTATAGATGCTGCAGTGATGGACAGCGAGGGCACGTTGGGCCGCGGCCATGCAAATGGGGGCCGTGGGCTGCGCCGTCAGCGGTCCCTAGAATGGAGAGAACGGCGCGGTTATGGAGTCGGTGGCCAATCCAGCAGTGATGATGAAGATAACGCACGTCACGCTGTGGGGCCCGTGTCAAGTTCATCCGTTACAAGAGGCGCTCGTAGTCCCGGTCAGGTCTTTGCCTCCATTTTGGCGCAACAATATGGCAGTAAGTGACATCCTTCAGTGTTGCATTCTTCGCTGTAAATTTAGTTCTTTCTACAAAAAAGCTTAGTAGAGCATCTCGATTGCATTAAAAAAAAATGATACTTAAATAACTTTATTATTTGCATTTAAAGATATTTCTTTTTCCATTCTTTGTTAATTTTAAAAATTTATGTTGTATTTTTTTAACATAAAGTAGCTTAGATATTATAACGAATAAACTGGCAAGAAAACAAACTTGCTGATATGCGTTGCATTTATATATTCGATACATGTTGTAAATCTGCGTTACGATTCCATATTTGTTATATTCACGGAACGATACTCGTGTATATTTGCAGTTGTCCGAATCTATACCGAAAAAACGTGATTCTGCCAGCAATCACTGTCTCGTTGTTTATTTTTTCATCGATATCTACTTTTGATTTACAGTTGATCCTGTTTTCATGGACGAATTCAATGACAATATAATATTATAATATTTGTTCAATATGATGATTTTTCGATCGAGAGATGCAATTTTAGTGCACGCTCTATAGCTTGTTCTTCTGTAGTAAAGTATCTTCATTTAATGCTTAACAATATTTATACATAAAATGTATCATTAAATTGTATGGTTAAGTTTATAAGATATAATACAGACTGTAGGTTTTTATTCAATACTAACAATAATTTAAAATATTGTCTTATTGTCAATATAAAAATATCACTCGCTGGATAATGGAAAAACCCTTTAGTAAAATAATAACTTTCCTGCGTAATGGCAATCTCAATATTTCAATAAATACTTGTTCCGATAAGCATAACAAACTGATGTAACAATATTTATTTTCTTTCTCCGATTGTAAGTAACTTCAGTTGTATTATTCTCCATCAAACTATACTCAATTTTCGAATTAAAAAAGCAATAACACAAGAGAAATCTCTAGATTTAATAAAAGACGCATACCTCAATAAGAACGCGAAAAGTTAATAGCAGATTTTGCACGTGAATGAATGCAACGTATAAATGACAAGGAACGTTATCAACTATCGTTTAATTAAGTCCGATTGCGTATCGTGACTTTCGCAACTGCTTTAATTGCGGCGCGTTGGACTAAAGTTGCTTCTTTTTCCTCTATTTGATCTGGTATACCAATAACCAAGTTTTACGTGCCTCGTTCATCATATTCCATCAAACACCCAGGAGTTCGCCCATTCAGTCCGCTTCCCTTAATCTCGCCTCGGCTTTCCACCAAACGCGTAGATTAAAGGATTTACGAAATTAGTTTTACTTCCTCGCGTCGTCTACAAGCACTGCCGGATATTACGTTCGAAGACCAAAATCAAGATTGCCGCGCGCCGGCAACCTCCTTCTAATATAATACCTAATATAATGGGTGTGAGCACTTTGAAAAGTAAATGAAGCCTCACGACAAATAATTTTCACGGACGCGTGCATTTTATGTATATATAGAGCAACGTGAGTTACATCTCGAAGCTATCTCGTACCCTTGATTGTGTCAATATGAATCTACTTCACACGCATAAAAAATACATTCTAGCACTAACGACGATCCAATGAACTAGAAAGAATAATGCAATAAGTTAGGATAAGTTGTCTCATATGTTATTCCGTTATCTGCAGCCCCCCTAATATCTACTTCATCATCTCCCTCGTCGCTTCTATATTCCCACGTTTCATCGATTCGTCTTGAGGTCGAACAAAGTAGGGGACGTTGCGCGCATCGACGATAGGGACGAACTCAATTAATAGCGATAGTCCGACTTATACTATATTGCTTGGTTGCGGTATCCAGCGAAAAAGAGAGAGGGAGAACGAGAGAAAGAAACAGAGGGAGAGTCCAGTAGTCCACCTCATGTCTGTCTGCATTTGTTCCAATTCACTTGCTGCCGATTACCGCGCTGCCTCTCCGCACCGATCCCACGTCGTCGTCCTACCCCATTTTCATCCCTATTCTCCCATTTCCTCTGCCCCGTATCTGCGCCGACCCCTTCTCCCGAGCCCATCTACCACTCGACTCGGTGGATACAGCGCAGTGTCACGTAACCGCACTCGAAATGTATCGAAAGAGGCGATGTACCGACAACGTAATGACTCGCCTTTACTAGCCCGCAGCTTCTCCTGCTTGTTCCATTTCGTTTCCGCATACCATCCTCTCATCCGCCTATTTGATACGCACTTTATTGTGAATCAATATTATGCAGTTTCCCGCGCTGATACAATCTCCAACGTTTTCCACCTTTGGAAGAATGCTCGCGTGATTATATTATTTCGAAATCTCGTCATTTATTAATATATCTTTTGTCTGCTGGCAATATTCATTGTAATTAATAATGGAAGAACGGTCAAGGATTTTATTCGTATTACGTTGTTTGCACAACTTGACGCTGCACGATAGATATTAAAATTTTAATCGTTTCTTTGATAGTCTCCATCGTTGATAATAAACCGCAGGAAAAACTCAATAATTACGACAAGTCGCTCCACACGTGAAAAATCAATAAGGTATCGCATTAAAATAATAAATTAATAGTTCTGATATTTTCCAAATCACACTCACATTTTATCCTCCTTGGATATTCCCTAACAAGGATATATATGTCACGTCATTATCATCTCTACGGTATAATGGAAAAAGATCTCCTCTTTCCCATGCCTTCTTAGCTCGGATCAAAATACCTATTATAGCTCTTCGTCAGAAATGGAGGAAAGTACAGTCTCTTTATTAATGATATCCGATGTGTCACGTTACAAGAGAGCCGTAGCGTGTCGATATGGATGGCAGCTCTTAATCTCCGTCCGCATAGTCATCAATATATTGATGTCCAGTCGTGGGGTCCTGTCTCCAGGCTAGCCTGGACCAAGCCGGCCTAGACATTATATTGCCAGCTCATTACACCAGCAACGGTTCATATCACGCTTTACTACCTTCCGGAAAATGTTGTTCTCCGAAATAGCAATGTGTGCAGAAATCTCGCGTATACGATGACATCGTATAACGGCGCTACGTGCATTATCCCCAAGAGATTATATAAATTGGTAATTTGGTACGGCGAAATAAATACAATGACAGTCTACGGGATTATTACGCGAGTACACGCCTATCTGTTTATCGGGCCGTTTCATTCGCGTTAATCAAATATACGTTTATATACGTTATTCAATATATGGATATTGATACACATTGATTCATACGTGTCTATTGTTCATATTTTGAATCGCCTTTTCTCCCTCTTCCCCTCTCCTCCCGTGCCGATAAATTCTGAAATCGATCAAAAGCAACGCATGCATTACTATCGTTTATGAACCGACGCAAGCGTAAATCTCGAGGTTGCAATCATGTAAAATCACATTATCGATTTATATTTGTGTCAAATATTTACAGATCACTGTACCACATCGTTACGTACTGCAGATAGCGACTGGTCGGGGAAGTGTTACGACCCCGAAATGAATAAAACAAATTCAAAGATACATATCATAGCAAAGTGTGTTCTTAGTATTAATGGGGGCGGTAACGAGAACTAAAAGCCGACTGCTTTCTCAGCTAAGACTTGAGATCTTCTAACCGCGCTTGAGCTCTCCATCTGGCCTCTCCGAGCATTTTCAAGTTACTACATACCACGGACTCTTAGCTACCCGATGTATTCTCAAGGATTTCAGAAGATGAGGTTAAGCCATGGATAAATTTTTAATGGTCAGATGGAAGTTCCAGCTTCGCGAAGTAATCGTATGGTACACGCGAGATATCGGATAGAAGGATTAGTTTGGAATTCAAAATAACCAAGTCATTATAGCTTGAGGAAGATGAAATTTCGTAATTTTTTTGTACCTAACAAACGAAAAGTGATATTACATTTGCGTTACATGATAAAATACATTAGCAAGTTTTGAACATTTAAGTTCTGAAAGTATTTTCTCGGGTATTATTATGAATGAGAAACAAATTGAAATGGAATTGATTTGATAGTACTGCTAATTTCCTCCGAGTTGCTATCTTTGTGCGAATGTTATTAGGAGTTTTAGGTTACGAACAAAGATTATATAATGGAATCCTTATTCGAGTGTAACGGCATATATGTGGGAGTTGGAAACTCTAAGACGCTAACGTACGGGATTAGATATCCTGGAGTTCTCGTAGCGGGGCCTGGAAAATGGGTTAAAGCAACAGTCATTAGAAGGTAATGCGAAAGTTTCGTTGAGAAAGAAAGCAACGGTCTACCGTTTCCACTTATTCCATCACGTCAGAAACTTATACACTAGCGGGCGTCGTAGCTATCAGAAGGAATGAATAATTTAAAGATGTCGGATCGCATGATCGGAATTCACATGTCTGGGAATCGTTTTGAACGTCAAATTACGAGGGGGTGGGAGGGCTCTCTCTTCGAGCGATCGCTTGAATAATTACGTTACAGACAGTCAATCCATTTAAATCACTCTATTGCCGACAAATGGTTCATTAAAATGCAGCAGATCGAATTCCTGTCGCGCCAATTGCGCAACGTAGCGCGCGGGAATATTCTGATAAATTCTAATAAATCTTGTCTCGATGAACCTACTGCCGACGGTTGAGAAGGGTCGCTAACGCGTTTGTAGACAAAGTAAATTTGCATTAACAAAATTACTTTGCATCGCAAAGTATATTTGATGTAAGTGCAATTATTAATACTCACAATTTTATTTATAAGACTTTATATATCTCCGTTATAAAATCGTCATAAAATCTGTTTTACCAGTCGATATTTAATTTATTTGAAACTAGAAAATGAAATCCTATGAAATATTTGTACAAAGATATATCTTACATATTGGATTTCTATTTATACAGTAGAACAGTTTAAAATTCCAGCTTATTTGTATATCTATATCTGTATAACATCCAAATTTAAGATTATTAAGATTTAAGTATTGTTAAAGTATATGTATATCTTTTCAAAATCTTTGTTTATTATATATTGGTATTATGAATTACGTTTTCAAATCAGACTGATGATTAATAT